TTTAGGCAGCTGATACACTGAAAGTGTGACAAATTTTTTCCTTTTGCTCTGATGATGACATAGACTTATATGGTCTTGTATACAGTCGACAATGATGATGATGATGATGATGAAGCATTAGAGCAGCAGTCACTTTTCTTCTGGTGCAGATTCTTTTCATGTGTTTGCATTTGCACACACAGCTGTTGTTTCATATCCATGACCAGAGACGAATGGGGTCAGCAATTTTGCCTCTTTTACAGGTAACAGATCTGTGGAGAGGCGAGCCCGCTCAGTAATGCACTTTGTTTTTCAAGGTATTTTTGAGTAAAACCTACAACTTATCTTTAATGAAATAAACGCTACAGGTTTGATTCTAATCCAGGCTTGGTGTAATTCTGATGTCACTCGATGGCGTATTTATGCGGGTCAATGTAAACGAAAACTTTTTTGAAAACGACGCTGTTTGTGCATGATGTTATTTTTGAAAATGGAGGGAGGGAAATATTCGTTTCTCAATATACCCGGCTATGTGTAAATGTAGTCTTAGTTCAGTAGAGATTGGCAATTCCAGGTCTGAAATTAGCCAAATGATTCTAGTGTAGGTGTATGGAGTTCAAAAAACACTGGAGCACTGTATTAGCACATGACATCACAAGGTATATAAGACTATTTTCTGTTTGAGAGAAGAACTCAGCCTAAATATGCAGGGTGTGTGAGTTAAACTTGTGTGAATGAACCAAAACACAACTCCAGGTCTGTTTGTGATGAGGAAAATAACATTATAACACAGACACGGCCAAACCTCTGTCAGTAAAAACAAGAAAATTAACTAATAATTAAAAAATGGCAATGATTAAAATCTGTGTTGGAATTTATATTGAAGTTATTTGTCATATTGCCCAGATCAAGTGCACGACTTCTATTTTAGAAGTAGAGACCGAGCACAACATGGAGGGGTGAGACAGAAATGTGCCAAAATGAAACATGGTCCAGGTTGTGCTATGTGAACAACAACACAAAATACATTTAAAGGACCCATATTACACTATTTTCTGATCTGTTTGTATTATGTTTTACAGTTATTTTATCTGTATACTTTCTTTTTTTGTTTTTTTTCTAAAGTGACATACACTCTCACTAGAATGATCTGGATAATTTCAGCCCTGGAATTTCCAATCTCTGCCGAACAAAAGGTAGCTCTTATCTTGAAAACTACCATTACATGAGATTGCAAGGTGGAACAGCATTTGGAGCTTTGAGTGATCCTGCATTATTGGTCTGTCTGCATCTCCAAACATGTGAGAACGAAACAAAACACAGCTCCAGGTATGTTTTTGAGGAGGGAACGACATTGTAACCTGACAGTAAAGCTTATGAGAGCAAATTTTGAATGATATAGGACCATTTAAAAAAAAACAAAAAAAAAAACAAAAACAAAAAAAACAACCACAGTGCTGTGTGGTGGAGGTTCTGCGATGAATATTCCACTATATGGCATTAACTTTGATGTGTTTGTTGACAGTAAATGCCTGTTTTTCCAGTTAAAACACCTGTAATTGAATAAATGCATGATGTTTAATGCCATGCTGTGGAGCATTCCAGGAAAGCAATAACATCTCCATAGAGAAGCAGATGTCGTGCTTCAACCAGAAAAGCTAAACCTGCGCTTTTTATTCAGTATTGTGAAATACTGATTTACATTTGGGTCCGGTCAAGTGGTAACGGAGGGAAACGGGCAGATTTTTTACATTCAAATGTCTCTTATTCAGAAACTAGAGGGACTATTGAAATAAGTAAAGTATCAGAATGTAGGAAAGAGTTACACTCCAACAGGGTAAAGTTAAACCTGTGATATTCTTTCAAGTTGTTGACAAAAAATTTTAAAACTCATGTCGGTAACGGAGGAAATGAAATATGCAGCACTTTTTGGGCAATAAATCCAAACAGTGATAACTCTTGGTTCTCACTTACATATCCTTAACAAACTGGTTTGAATATTTGCTTCATATAGTTTTCTACCATATGGTACAAGATTAGGTTGAAAAACCTCTTACTTTTTGAGTAATGAGATTTTTTTATTAAGAAATGTCATGGTAACGGAGGGAAAAGTAACGGAGGGAAAATTGTGCAAACAAGTAGAAGGTGCATGATTTTACATAATTTGTCGCTTTTTTCTTCTGAATACTTTAATATTACTTCAAAATGAAAGGAAACTATTTCTATAAAATATGTCAGACCTTCCAAGCAAATTTTTATCATTTTAAATACTTTTTTTGAAAAATCATGTCCCTTCATCAACAGTTCAAAGATGGAATAACACAAGATATGATGAAATACATCCATTTATTTACAGGATTTTCAGGTCTTTGAAATTTGGGAAATAATTTTTGTTCCATGTTTCATACATGGTCTGTTTAAAACATATGTAACTTTAGAACCAAAAATGATACAGAAAAAAGGTAAACAGTTTCATAAACTAGAGTACATATGTATCTGTTGAATACATTTTTTATATCAGATGCATTAACTTGAATTTTTGGCCTTGTTGTTTACTTCTGCTTGACCGGGCCCATTTTCATTATTATTCTATTTCAATTTAGGCAAAATACACTGAATTTATGTTACAGTTTGTACTCGGATATGATCTTCTTTTGGCTTTTCACAAATTTTGAAGCTCTATATAAGCAAAATAATCCCAATAAACCATTTAAAAATATGCAGTATCATTCAAAAAGCCTAAGCTGAAACAGATACACAACAAAATGCACTGATAATTAGTCACAGAAGTTATTTATTCTACCCTCTACAGCTCAGATTTTATGGTATTGCATAAAAATGTCTAGAATCTCCCCACTATTGCAAAGAAAAATTACCCATGATAAATGAATACCTGCTCGAGCGTCCCATTCTGTTGGCGGGAACGTCGCCCCGTTCTCTTGGGGGGCACACGGGTAACGGCTGCGCCCGGGAGAGGGGGGACGTTCTCACAAGCCTTTAGTCGGCTTCGTGAGGCGCTGTGGCGTATTGAGTTACAAAATCAGTGTTCTATATCATAATAAAATGAAATGTGAATGCAGTGAGACCAAATGTCAGGCCTCGTTTATGTCATTTTGCCGATCTTCCCAAAGCGGCACATTTTCTCAGTATGTTATATCAATATAATCCTCATTTGCTCGCGGGAGTTTACTATGAAACCGTATTTTAAAACATTTTTTCTTGTTCCTCACGTCCTATAGCATCTGTAACTCTTGATTATTTCCTTACCTGCTGCCATGAACATAATTTGTAAGCAGCACAACAGAATCTTAAAAAGCTACAGAATGTGTTCAAAAATCATTCAGAATCACTTTTAGGAAGATCTTAAAATTGTTATATGTGTGTGTGTGTGTGTGTGTGTATATATATGTATATATGTGTATATAGATAGATAGATAGATAGATAGATAGATAGATAGATAGATAGATTAAGTAACTTTTCTAAAGGGTACAATTCAGGGGGATTTTCCAGCTGATTCCCTGATAAATATTGAGCCCCAAACAGGGTTGGGCGGCATCCAAATTTTGATACCATCAAACTTTCTCAGGATTTTACAGAGGTATAAGGTATTACCGTATCACCAAAATGTTTTAGTATGACTTTAGTAATAGTCCAGTTCCTTATATACTTTTGTGAGAATTTTTGGGGGATTTGCCAAACTATGTATTTTTGGAAAGGTATATATGTATATATGGTATATGGAGTCAGAAAATCAATGTTTGCCTTTGCCCAGGTGTCTATATGGCAGCCATATTGAATAATAAAAAAAAAACTCTTTTTGAAATATCTCAGCCTCTGAATAAGTTGAAATGTTGATTTTAAATGATAAACTCAGTTAAACCCACATATAAGCTACGAAGCACCGCTGTATGGTCTATGCGTATGACCTGCAGATTTATAGTCTCTGAAGAACCATCTCCAATGCAACAGAAGCACAGAACAGACTCACCATCAGCTGCACATCCCTCTGTCGCAGAAATAACACTCATATTCCACTGAGTTGTGTCCTTAAGTCAGACAGAAGCTGAACCGCATCAGCGCACAAAGAGAGAGCTGTTTTTATCAGCGCTTATAGTTTTTGCAAATGAGCCATGTGGATTTAAGTTTCGTTTCTGTAAGCAAAATGTGCGCCTGAAGCAAAAATGCTGCCAAATTGTAGAAGTACTAGTATTTTTTGACCAACTCGCTTGTGGCCGGACTTGCCATCTTGTCTTGGTCATGTGACAACAGAACAAAACTAATCAAACATCTCCCCACACAGTTATAAGAAACATTATGGACACTATTAGTTTTAAACCATGGTAGCATTAAACAGAAAATACAACCACACAGCCGTTTGTGCTGAGCAAACTCATTTAGGTATCAATAAATTATATTATTATATTACATCCTTATGCGCTGCAGATTTTTTTATTGACTGTAATGAAACTGATACCGCTGCTACTTTTTGATACCGCGGGATAATGTAATACTGTATTACCGCCCAACCCTAGCCCCAAAATATATGTCAGTTTTTATGTAGTGAATGATAAATCTGTATAGGAATTATCGTGAGAGAATAGGAGCACTCTTCCTCTCTGGTGGTTTGGTAAGCATGTTTTACCCACAAACTTTTAAAAATGAATGAGAAAAGGCTTCTTTAGGCATTTCTAGAGACAATAATAGCAGATTGGTGACGTGTCTTGCCCAAGGACATGACTACTGTACACTAATTAATGCTGGTTTGCCGGGATTGAACCATTTTGGGTTGTGTTTGAACGGCTTGACTAACCGGATCACCCGATGTTCCCTCTTTTTGACACTGCTTTTTCAAATGTGTATTTCTGTTTCAACTTCCCTTTTTCACAGACAAATCGTGCCTTCGAACTTGATGTCTGATTCCCTCTAAACTGTTTGCTCAGGCTCCAGCACATGCAGCCATAATTACCCGAGGTGATAAAACTCCAGTTGGCAGAGCTTTGCCGGTCCGTCCTTCACAAGCCGTCCTTTACCCTGTCGCAGTCCCACAAAATCTCACCCACACTAGTCGAGTTTTGTCCTTGTTTTTTTACCAGAAGAGGAGGTAAACCTGAAAGAGAAGGATAACGCCGCATTTAGACCGACGCCACCACATCAGACATCGGTGTTCAGACTAAGTTTACTGCAGGACAAAGATGGGTGTGGACTGGTGGGATACTATATCACAATGTTTTCCCTGTATTGATAGATCTTGATTTTCAATTTGATCTTGCATCTTATTGAAAACACAGACAGTTGGAATTCAGACATAAAGAGCAGGATGTCAGGATCACTACAGCTTTTTATTTTGCTTTGAGAAGAGTGATAAATATGGAGAAACCCACATTTAAAATTTGGAATGCGTTTGTACACACACAAAGACAGAGGGAGAGCCACTGGACTTTTGAAATTGTGCAGATTAAAGCTACGTTTATGTGACAAGGGTTTTCAGGAGGAAATCTACGTGCATTCGGTGACGCGAAAGTCTGTGGAATTCGATTGGGTATGCATGCCAGGCGGCTAGGTGGTGATGTATGTGGCGTAAACGTGTACGCAACGTGAGCAGATCTGACCAGAGTTTTGCATCTTGGACAGTTTAGATGGAAACACTACGGTGCGTGAGAGTATTCAACTTTTCCACTCTGGAGGGTGGTTTCAGATTTTAGCGTTTTTAAGCTCCGAAAACGACATCACCGTCTAAACGAAAGGCACTTCTGATAAAATATATTGTCGTTTTTACCCTTAAGCATTCTCGTGTAAACAGGCCCTTAACTCTTTCCCCCCTGGACGCCTACTAGGAACAACCCATACATATGTTACTAGGGCTGCCCATAGAGCATAATTGCATAAAAGAAAACGGACTTCCACGAGTGATTTCAGGGCAATTTTTGTTCATAATCGAGTATAAATCCCGGATAGTTTGTTGGGATATTGCAGGACTCCACACAGACGCATCAGCGGCATTCTCATCTTCGTAAGATTCACTCTCTGAAAGTCCGTCGCTGTCGCTGTTTTCCACTTTATAATCACCCTCATCATCACTTTGAAATCTATAAAAGTCACTTTCTCTAAACTTATCCATAAAATACGTCCGCTCCTCATTATTTCTGAAACTGTGCGCCGCAGCGCCGCCATCTTTCCATTGCACGTGTTTCGTGTTGTGTTTTTTCCGGAAGCTACCATCGTCACTACTTCGATTAACTTCGGAAAAAATCGGCGAAAACATATCCTTGAATCCTATTGGTCAGTCTAGTGTGGGTTGTAGTGGCCCACACCGATCGCAGTCTCTGTTTAAATGTGAAAAACCGAGCCATTTCTCGAGGTCGTCAAATCACGTCTTTAGTGATACGGCGGAGGTGTCAAAAGTCGTCATTAAGGGTTCAGGGGGGGTCGTCAAATGTCGTCTTCATGGGGGAAAGAGTTAAGTCAAAACTTTGTAAGCGTGAGGACACATAAGGAGACCGAAAGAGATGTGCTGTGACTCGTAGTTTTCACCTAAATGAGAGACTTGTAACTCCTCTTGAGCTTCATGCGATCTTCCTGCCACACGTTTGGCTATAGACCTGTCGATTTAAACGAGCTTTCCTTATCATCGCGATCGGCCTAAGGCTACATCTACCCGAAAACACTACTGGATTTTTTTTTTTTTTTTTTGCGGGTTGAAAAAAAATTCACATCCACACGTCGGAGGATCAATGAATATTCACATCGGATCGACAACGAAAACTGTGTAATACATCTGCCACACCTGTATGTTGTGCTGTAACCAATCATAATAATATTTAATAATGCAGATCTTATCAGTTGTTTTTTTTTACTTTAAGGTAAGTTAGCCAAGTTTTGATGTATCCCAGAAATATAGCTGTTTTGTTTTGCAAAAGTTAAACATAAGTTTTTGTTTTTAGCCATAAGATTTGGATT